TGCTTGATAACTTCCGCTCTTGAAGTGGTTGTGGTTGCGATGTCTTTCACACTATCCCTACGTCAACAGAGCCGGTACAGACCCGTTCCAAGGCTTATGGACTTTCGAGTTCCGGGAAGCGTATCGATGAAGGGAGATTGACGAGGGTCACCGTAACTTTTGTATCTTGAGGGTTTTTGCTTGCTTGATAACTTCCGCTCTTGAAGTGGTTGTGGTTGCGATGTCTTTCACACTATCCCTACGTCAACAGAGCCGGTATAGACCCGTTCCAAGACTTATGGACTTGCGAGTTCCGGGAAGTGTATCGTCATTCGACTGTTGCAAAATAATGAAACACTTTCACATAGCCCATACTACATAAAATTCGAAGGTTAACAAGAGGGGAAATAAAATAATTAAGCTAATACTTTCGGTTCAATCTTACTGTTACGATTCATTTCACAACATTCCACTCCGCTTCATATTCGAAAAGTATTACAAGTAAGTGCCAAAATTAGGTGAATAATTTGATTAAAAGAATTAGAAGTATAATCATCATACCTCACCTCAATTTTATTTTCGGGTTATTCTCGTTTAGCAGTTTGGACTTGCAATGCAAAGATAAGTTGGATATTTTGTTTTACTTGCACATCAACCAGGATCTCATTTTTGGTTCATTTTAATAATGCCTCTATTTCTTCTCCTTTTATATAACTTGTAGTGGTTCAAGAATTAGAATTAAATTTGGAATGAGAATTACGTTATCTTGATCTCATCACAAAAATCTGATCAATGGATTCGCTTAAAAATCTTTGATGCTACAAGACCAACAAGAGTCATTTTAGTTACTAATTCATGTAAACTTTGAACATATATGAAGAAGAAATTAATTTGTTTTCGTAATATATAATGTTGTCTATACTATTCTAGAATGTTTTTAATGTTACTGTGCATTTATTTATCAAATTTCAAGTTCTGAATTGATAGTTTCGTTGCAATGAAACTTTGTCGAGAAATATTAGCATACAACTTGTCAACTAAGAATTCATTCGGGAAAAATAAACAGATGTTAGAACTTTCTTTTTAAATACGTATGATGTCGCATTGATAAATAAATCTTTGATACTGTAAACATACAGATTGTAATTTAACTTAAAATACATCTATTTATATAATGAATTTTTATGTATCAAATATTTAAAATTGAAAAAAATATATAACATCTTTATTATAGAAAAAAAAACCTATAAAATTAATGTTTAGAATTTATTAATAAGAAAAGGATTAGTTATTATTATTAATATTACTTGTATATCATTTAATAAAAGTATTTAATCAATTAATTAAAATTATATAAGTTAAATAATAATTTACTTTAATTATTAAAAACCAATTTAAGCTAATAATAAATAATGATAAATTTTTGATATAAAATTATTAGAATTATAAATAGTTTAACATAAAATGATTTTAATGTATAAATTAAATATCTAAAATTTAATAATATAATTAATAAATTATATAATATAATTAAAATAAAAGTACTAATCAATAATTTTTGATCTATATATTAATAAAATATTATTTTATTTTTTTTTAAAAAGTAAAGAAAATAGATTAAACTTTCCTTAATTTTTATTTATTATTAATTAAAATTTCCTATTAAGTAGACAAACTATAATATATATATATTATATTAATAAGTTTTTAATAAATGTTTTATGTTTATATTTTTTATATAATATAAAATTATATTAATTAATATATAAAATCTGAAATTGGATATTATATATAATAGAACTTCTAATAAGTTGAATCAGATTAAATTATAAGTTAAAAATCTTAATTTTTAAGTATTTTTTATTAAGCTATATTATATTTAAACAAAAATTTACAATTATATAAATCATTTTTCAGAGTTTTAATATATAAAGTATATACATTTTTATGATAAAATTTTTAATATTTTTTATAAAAATAATATATAAATTATATATATACTAATAAAAATTTAATATATATAATATAACAAAAAAAAATTATTATAAAAATTAATTATAATATTATATGGGAGTGTTTCTAGGAAAATCAGGTTCCGAGAAATTTTTGATTAAAATTAAGAGCTTAATACATTTTAATCTAATTACATCAAAAACTAAAATGCAATAAAAATCTCAATTTTGCTAAAAAATTCCCGGAACCTGATTTTCCTAGCAATCTACCCATATAATAATATTTTATTAAATCTAAGAATTCTATTTAATAAAAATATGAATTATTTAATAAAGGAGTGAATATTAAAAATGATATTTTATTATTAAATTTAAATTTTAATTAATTTTTAAATATAAAAAATAAAATTATTTTAAAATTGGAATTATTAATTCAGCAAGTTTAATTAAATTAAAAAAAACCAATGATAAAACTAATATTATTTTTAAAATATTTCAATAAATCAAAAATTTTTATAATTACAGATAATATTACAAATTATTTTATTTTTTAATTAAAATATATATCATAAGATTTATCAAAGATTTGAATCCATTATTTATTCAATTATTTTAACTAATCTAATTATGGTTTATTTTAAAATTTAAAATCCTTTAATATTATATAATTAATTTAATTAATTTAATTATAAAATCAAATTTTTTTTTTTATAATACAGTAAGTAAAAAAAAAATACACTATCTAAATTTTAATTTTACAGCTGATTACTAATCATTTTAGTATATGATTGGCGCTTTAAATTTTAAGTTTACTTCATCGAAAAATGAAAAATAGAGGTATAGCAAAATATCATTAATATTGGAGAAAATGTTTACCCATTAGGTTTGATCAAAATCCAATAATTATCATGTTACAATCGAGGTCATAAAAATTTTCACCTGACCACGTGTCATATAAATACTGTGTGAAATTATTCAAGTTCTGTACTTATTCTTGTTCAAAAAGCAAATATGTACGGCAACGTAGGACTTTCTACACCTCGCGGGTCTGGGACAAATGGTTACGTAGTTCGTAATCTATCTTTTATCAGACCTCGCAAAGATATACAAATTGAGTCCTTAGATGAAGCTAAAGCAAATGCCTCTACATTTGCTAATCGTAAACCTAATCAAGAGATATTGGATCATGAAAGAAAGCGACAAGTGGAATTAAAGTGTATAACTTTTCAACAGGAACTTGAAGAGGCCGGGTAAATATTAAAAGTATTTATTTATTTATTTATTTATTTTAAAAAAAAGTTTCTTATTCCAATAAATTTTCTCACAGGAAAACTGAGGAAGAAATCGAACAAGAAGTCAATTCGTTTCGTCAATCGATGCTTAGATCCATTGACATTGTGAAGGATAACAAAAAGTTTGTATTTAAACAATAATTCTAGAAACCTTATTATCATTAATTAATTAATCATAAATTTATTTTTACTAGCATTCAAGAATATCAGACACATCATCTTTCCCAGGCTAAAATCACGGAGAATGAAAAAATGATGAGAGCTTTAGGTATAAATTCACAATATTATGTTGAGGGTGCAGCATTTGATCGTGAATTACAAGAAACGAAAAAGCAAGAAAGAATTATTCAACGAGAAAAGGATCTTGAAGAACATCAAAAATGGTTAGAAGAGAAAGAGCGTGAATTAATTGAACGAGACAAGAAATGGGAAGAAAAGTGGGAGGAAGACAAAAAGAAAAAAGAAAAATTACGCAATCTTCTTCGTGAGAAAGAAAGTCATCCAGTAGAAAAAGATGATGATAGGGAATATTATTATCGACGTGAAGAAATGTAAGTCATTTGATACTTAAGAAATAATTGAAAATCATCTTTTATTTCTTTTTTTATGCATTGTATTTGTCTAATATTGTTCTTTATTTAAATTAATGCTATACAGACATAAAAAAGATTATAAAACTCGCGAAAAGAGTCGAAAAAGAAACTCAAGTGTCAGCGAAAGCGGTAGCGAAAGTAGCAATACAGAAAGTAATAGTAGTCGAGATACTCGTGGCAAACGTTATCATATGTCGCGTCGCGTTAGTAAACAAGGAGATAGTGATATAAATGAAAAATATTCAAGAAGAAATAATAATGATCATTCTGACAGAGAAACTGAAAGATATCATAATTCAAGAGACCACAGAATGCCTAGATCCCCAAAACGGCGTCAAGGATCTCCTACACGTAGGAGAAATCGAGATAATAGTATTCCTTCTTCTAGAAGAAATCGGGATGGAAGTTTATCACCGCTTCCAAGAAGAAATCGAGACAGTGTATCTCCTTTTCAAAGATATCGAGATAATAGCTTTTCCCCATCACGTCGATCGCAAAGAAATCATAGTTCAAAAGAGTTTTCTACAAATTCAGAAAGGAAATCTTTTCGTAGCGTTTCACCACCTTCATATAGACATTACCAGGATGATAATGTTCGTTCTCGTTATCGTAATGAATTTAAGTCAAGACGTGATATTTATAGTTCGGAAAAGCGCAATGATTATTCACCTCGAAGTAATAATGGAAAAGCATAATCCACCACATTTTTTATAAACATTTTTTATCATTTCTTATCGTTATAAAACAAATATTTTTTTATATTGTAAATCTCGTTTAAGTACTTTTTTTTTTTGATTATAAAAATCATGTTTACAATCGAAAGAAAAAAAAAAATATCCCGCAGACTTCAATAGATTACACCATTCTTATATATATATAAAAGGTTTTACACCATAAAATCTTAAAAGAACTCATTTGGTGATTTCAGCTTCTTTTAAAGATAATTGATCAACAGTAAACTTAAATAACGAAGATTTTAAAATTAACATCAATGAAACTATTATCAGGTGATGAGTATAATATAAATCACTTACTTTGATGGCATCCGCAGCAGGCTTAGTTCTTAGATAGTACATACCCGTTTTCAGACCGCTCTTCCATCCATAACTTGTTTAATAGGCAACTAATGTGAGTGAATTATTACATAACATCGATTCTTATAAAATAATATATACTTACAAATGCATGCTGGTCAATTTTGCGATAGTTGGTTCTGCAATATGTATGTTAAGACTCTGAGATTGATCAATAAAAGCACCACGATCTGCCGCCATATCAATAATCACTTTCTGCGATATTTCCCAGGTAGTTTTATATAAAGCTTTAAGTGCTTCCGGAATCCCAGTAACTAATATACATTTATATAATGATGTAATATAAATAATCTTTGTTGTATGTATATAAATCAATTACAGCAGCATACAGCTTACCTTTCTGAATACTTCCATTATCCGCTATTATTTTGTTTTTCATTTGATCATTCCATAATCCTAATTCCACCAAATCCTTTAATAACCAAGGGTTTACAATTTGAAA